AGCCAGCATGCTGGCTGGGGGGTTCTGGGAGTTGAAGTCCATATATCTTCAGACGGCCAAGTTTTTGAAATACTGCACTATACATAAATCTTGGTTTGCAAACCCACAGGGGCTGAGTTCACATGACCCAGCCTAGAACAAGCAAAACCACCTTTTGGTTGGTTATGCAGTGTGTGAATTCAGGCTAGGAAGGATTTTATTTGAGCTCCTTAAAGTTACTGTTGTAAATGTATTTTAATTACTGTAAGCCTATTGAACACTGGGAACTGATTAGCAGTTTGCTGAATCTCTCAGTGCCCTATGTCAATAACTTGAAAGTCCAAAGTATGATACATGATTTAGATGTCCCTTTTTCTACTTCCATTAATAACATACACGCTAATAACATACATGCCACGTGTGCATTTTGGAATATTGTTTATCCATGTGTCTGGTGTCAGTATGAAAGAATTAGATGTGATTCCCTGATTCATCACTTAAGAGTATGATATCTAGAACTGCCTTGGGTGTAGGGATGAATAAAAGTGTTTTGTTTAACCACCATTTTCAAAAGAAGAACATCTGGGACATCTGGATGGCCTCTCTCTTTTTCTGAAAAACATAACCAATTCTTAGAAAAAGTAAGACAGATTTTAAGCAATGACACCATAGTCTAACTCAATGAGGAATAAACCTTACAAGGCAGAATTGTTGCTGCTTTAATTATGTAATCTCAATTTATTTTGTCCCAAACACTACCAGTTACAACCGCTTTTTAAAGAGCAGACTAAAAATGCATCTATGAAGCCCCAAACATGTATTAAAATGACAGAGGCATTAAGTAAGGAAGAATGGAATTCTGAATCTCAAAGATGATCAAAACAAGGTTTGTGTGTCTGTGTGTCTGTGTGTTTAAAATAAAGATTCTGGATTGGGGGAGAGGACAGGAGAAGTGCTACAGAAATGTTCACGTTCCTAATAGCAAAAGGGACAAATGAGATCTATCTATCTATCTATCTATCTATCTATCTATCTATCTATCTATCTATCTATCTATCATATTTTTATAGCCGTCCATCTCACACAAGGAGACTCTGGGCAGCGTACAATTAAAAAAATAAATACATAAAAAATTATATATAAAAAAACAGTAAAAACACACAAAACAGGAGGGGATAAAATTAATAAGGGAGCCATTGCAAAATCTCCCCAGTCCCCTGGGAGCCCCAGGCCTGATCACATAGCCAGGTCTTGAGGAACATTCATGAGAATGTTAAGAGGGATGGAGCTGACCTTACTTCTGGGGGGAGAAGATTCCACAAGGTGGGCACCACAGCAGAGACGGGATCCGCAGCATGCCTTCTCTGCCAGACCTGATGGTGTGGGCAGATGTAATCAGGGAGAGACCTGGCCCCATGCCTTGAAGGGCTTTAAAGATCAAAACCAGCACCTTGAATCTCAACTGGGATAAAATTTAGCCTTGAACAACAACCAGAGAGCCTTAATTCTAATCTCATAGGGGATGAGTCACTGTTTCTACCCTCTTGTTATGAGAATAAATTTGTGAAGGAGACAATGCTTTGGTCACCCCAAGTTCCCTTGGAGTAAAGGTGCAATATAAATAGAATATCTCATCCAGCACAAATCAGTAAATGCAACGGCTTAAGGTGGGGATCCACAACTTTCCCAGGCTTACAGCAGCCAGCGTGGTCCAGAAGTAGAGAGATTCACCCTGTGCTAAAAAAGTATATTTGATCTTATCGAATTGGACATTTGATTTTCCCTACGTTAAAAATCACAATTTGGTGGCAACTTTTCGAGGTTTGCCAAAAGAAAATTGCAAACAGCCCTGAGGGATCGGGCTGTGTGCTGTCGATACATGACATAGATCAAAGGATGTAGGAATGAATCAGGTTGGTGGGACCCAGCCTACTTCAATCTATTGTAGTGTTTCTCAACCTCAGCAACTTTAAATATTTCTCAACCTCAGCAACTTTAAGATGGGTGGACTTCAACTCCCAGAATTCCCCCAGCCAGCAT